CTAGGCGGTGCCCGGGCGCCTCCGATTTGTACAAATCGGCAAAAAAAATCGGCCAGGCGGCTAGGCGGCGCCTAGGCGGGCCTAGGCGGCCCTAGGCGCTCCTAGGCGGCCTTGGCGGGCTCGGCGGCCAGGCGGTTAGGCGGCGTCTAGGCGGGCGTAGGCAGACCTAGGCGCTCCTAGGCGGGCTCGGCGGCAATTTTTCAATTTTTTTTTTATTTTTTTAAATACTAATTACATTATTTTGTTCTCATGTTTTCTTTAATATATATTAATATTATTATTTGGATTTTGGTGTATGAATTTATTATATGTTGAGATAATTTTATTTTGTAGGTAGTTAAAATAAATAAAAAATAAGGTATTTACTATTGATTTATGGGCCCCGACTAGGCGCCGCCTAAGCCCCGACTAGGCGCCGCCTAGACCCCGACTAGGCGCTCTAGGCGCTAGGCACTGGTCGAGCGCCTAGCGGGCGCCTAACGACTTTTAAAACACTGTTTTGTGATCAAATATATGCCGTTGACCACTTAATGGGGGTAAAGAAGACAATACACATTTATCTACGGGCCCCACCACCAACCCCACTAACTACACTCTCTCTCACAATTTACACCTACAGGCTACAACACATACATACACAATTCGTACAGACCTCCACCAAGCACCGCTGTCCACCGCCACCAACCGCCGCCGCATCATCATCTTCGACCTCGTCTTGATAAGAACGCCGTCACCGGTACCTCCCCTGCATTTCAACTCCGTTGTCTGCCTCTGAGATGCCGGCAAGATGCCCCGTCAACGACAATCTGCCGAGGCCCTCAGTTTTCTCCTGGCCGACTGATCCGACGGCGGATGCATCTCGCAGTAACTCTTCCGTGACAGATCCAACGGCAACGCGCGGTCCTCGAGACCCGCGTCCCTGAGCTGCGGCGGTTCTGTTGTTGCCGATTGATTTTCCCGATTATCCCAATCGTCCTTGACACTGCTGACAAGGACCTCCTGAACGGCGCTCGTGAAAGTTTTAAGCCGTCGCAGAAACCGTCGGGGCTGTACGCAATTTGGAAGTTGCAGGATGTGAATGTGTGCCGCTTGATTTAATTGGAAAGAGCATATCTAATTGAGAAATTGGGATTGGGGCAATTAGTTGGTGAATTAGACAAATTAAAAGGACTTATTTGCAAAATAAAAATAAAATTGAATGCTCATAATTTATGGCATTCAAGTTAGTTATTTTGTAACCTAAAAATAAAATTGAATGCTGAAAATTTTAGAGGGAGAATAAAATTTAATGCATGATAATAAAATTAAATGTTTTGTTGCTCCTCTTTAATTTTAGTGTTTGAACTGTTAATTATAAGTGAGTTGAAAGTTTATCTTTATTTTTCAATTATTCTTGTTTGTTTGTAACATTTATTTGAGTTTAAATACTAATCAAAATGCTAACTAAATTATAAAATATTAATAATTAAGTTTAAAATTTTAATAAAACATTTTAATTTAATCCATAAAACTAATTAAATTATAAAAAATAAAAAAATAGCCCAACTCAACTAGCCCAGTTTAATCCATGATCCTAGCCCAATTGTAGTTACAAAAAAAAGTCCAATCCATGGCTCAAAATTTGCCAACCCAACTCATTTTTTACTTTAAAAAAAATAATAATAAAAAAAAAGAGAAAAAAAACAAGAGGGGTGAACAGTGGAACAGTGATGAATAATGGAACAACTTCCCCACCGAACACAAACTTCTCCACCTGAAATCACCTGAAATAGCATAGAGGAGAGAGTTGCATTGGAGCTCATTTTTTTCCATGGATGGTGTTTCCGTTTGGTTTATGGGGTAGGTTGGAGATGCTCTAACCATACCATATTTCTCTAAATTAATTCTAGTTAACCAAAAAAACTCGTTTTGAGCAGATATATTTATACACAAACATGCCCTAAATCTCCACTCATGATTCTCATACACCCACGGTCATTAGACCCGAACAAGTTACAACTCTAAAATTTGGATGTACTTTTCTAAATACTTGTTTTTTTCACGGTTTGATCAACACATTCTCATATATATAAATTCAAATCACCAACTTAAAAAGCACAAAATAAAATGAAAATAAAAAACATGAATCAAACGGCACCCGCTGAATCCTTCCCCACTTGTTTTTTCGTTTTTGGGTGGGTTAGAGCTTTGCCAAAAGCTACTTGTATATACAACAAAAAGTGGTAATGTCGGTGAAACGTGACCACAAAAAATAAAAAATAAAAAACGTATTAGAAAAAAATATAATAAAAAGAACAACAAGAAACTGAAACTATCCTCTGAGGGGAACTTGATCGATACTTTGGTTCGACCAACTGATTTCTCAAACCTGAATTAACAAAACAACTAACAAATTACATAATAATTTTAACAGGTTAATTGCTCTTCCTAAATAGAGCAAGTTGGTAAATTACTGAAAAAGGTGCAAAGACGCACCACCTGACTAAAACAATTGTATATCACACACAAAATAATATAATTAGGCGATATTTTTTTACAGCGTAATAAAAGACCCCATCCATCTTTAACATTAAGAGCACCGAAAAAGTTCTTTCAACCTTTTAAACGTTAAAAAGTTACTCACCAAATCTCTATGAAGTATTCAGCTTTTCTTGCTTCATCAAGAGCCATCAGTTTCTGTCCTCACAAAGTGAAATCCATAAATCTATGAAGGAGCATATTTATAAATTGCATAACAATCTATACGGCTTAATTCTATATTTGTTATGAGAAATGCCGACATCTATATAAACTATAAAGTATTATTTTGACCTCAAATTTCATGTTTTTATTATGACAAAAGAGTCACATTACCTTAATGAAGTGATAACGTGTTTCTCACCACTGGCTTCGGTTTTCGAATCTCTAAGCAGCTGCAATGTCTCTATCTCCTCATCCTTCTTCGCTATCATGTCTTTTAGAGATGCAACCTACAGACCAATTTGTATTATTAATTTAATTTACTATTGACTTGTTTGTAATCATAGTTTTGGTGGTGGGGTAAATTGGAAGTTTGACTCATCTGAACCTCTTATTTTGTTGTGACAATAGTTGTT